AGTATTAATGTGGTTTATCTGAGGTCCAGGCATGCAAACAGCCTGGGTGTGGAGTACATGAGTGACTACGGGTGGAGTCCGTGAAAAATCTGACTAAACTGAGATTCATGGAGCAAAATGATGATCCTACAACCTTGCTTGGTCAAAGCAAATTTAAAAGTTTTCTTTGCATAATTGAGGATGGGCCAACACCAAGTGGAAATCTAACATTTTATCCCAGACTTAGAGGTAGACTTTTCAGGACAATGATCTTACCCTAGCTGGGAAGACCTAAAATGCCAATGCACATGGGAAAGGTACACAAAAGCGAATTTTTACTGTAGAAAATATTCCCAAGCAGAATGTTAATAATATGGATTTATGGGAGCCGTAACCTCAGAGGCCCTGCACCGCCTGGCCCCATGTACTTCCCAACCTGACCTCTGACCTCTGCTCTTGGAGAAAAGTACAGCTCCCACTCTGGTTGAAATGAGCATTCCAGCTTGCCTCTGTTCACACTGTCCTTTGCTGGGCCACTGGTCAGCCAATCCCCACTACCTGGGTACCCAGAAACCTGGGACTTCTCTGGGAAGTGCCTGGCTGCAGCCTTCTCCTCACTTTCTGTGCCATTGGTGAGAGTGAATTGCTTCCCTTTGGGGCATGCTGTTTGTTTAGCATGTTACACTGAATTATGAAAGTTCATTTAGGGTGCTTCTGGGGCTCTGTGTCCCATTAGGGAGAAGACCGCATCCCACATGTTGCTATGTTTGGGCGTCTCCATGCAGAAACTGAATACATGTTCAATAAATGCTTGTTGAGATGAATGAGAGCTTAGAATTCTCCCATTTCTGTTTACAGAATTTCTTACTGTTCTGTGAGTCTTGGCCATATTTTGCAAATTTGCACAAAAGTAGTGGACAATGAGTGGATTGTTGAATGTCTTCCAGAAAAAAAAAAAAAAAAGGCATTACACTGTCAGCATTGCTGTAGTCCTTACTAGGTACTGCTCTTAAACAATACATATATATTATTTACTCTTACAGCAACCTTATGAGGTATTTGAAGACTATGTCCTTTCTTTAAAGGGAAGATTACCAAAGATTAAATAATTTGCCTAAAGCCACAAAACTTGAAAATAGGAAAACCAGAATTCAAAACCTGGTCATTTGGCTACCATTACCGTGCTGTTCCTGTTATTATTGTGCTGTCCTGTTCTAGTCCTTTGTCTATTCACATTCAGGAGCAGCAAGCTTCTTCAAGAATAGGCAAACTTTATAATGTGGTGTTCTTTGACACTATAAGTGTGGGGATGTTTTGATATAATTGTTTTGTTATAGTGAGGGTTAAAACCAAGGCCTTTACACTAAGTTACATCCCCATTTCTATTTTATTTTGAAACAGAGTCCCACTAAACCTCTAAGTTGCCCAGACTGAGCTTGAATCTGTGTTCCCTCTGCCTCGGGCTCCTAGAATTCTGGTATCACAGGTGTGTACCACCTGTTACTGCTAGGATGTAAACAATTTTTATATATAACCTGTACTTTTAAAAGAATTAAGCCAGGTATGATGACACCTACCTGTCGCCCCAGCTGCCCAAGAGGCTGAGGCAGATCACTTGAGCCCAGCAGCTGAGACTAGTCAGGGCAACAAATAACAAGAGCCTGCCTCAAAAAAATGAGGCAGTTGGGAGGCAGTCGGGAGATAGTCGGAGTCTAAGTGCCTGTCTGGCAAGCTCAAGGACCCCCGGGTCTGATCCCCTGTACCTCGTGTGCCATACTGCAAGTCCAAACTGCATAGGCATGGTAGCGCAGGACTGTAATCCCAGAGCTGGGGAGGCTGAAATAGGAGGATTACTATGAGTCCAAACTGCATAGTGAGATAATGTACCAAATATTTTTTTTAAAAAATGAAAAACAAAAGGAAATATTCAATTCAATTCAATATTAAATTCACACTATGCTAATGTTTGACACTTTCTTAGAGATGATCTATGTTGCCCATGCTGGCCCCAAATTGCTGAGCTCAAGCAGTCCTTCTGCTTAGATACTACAGAAAGCTTAGACTCCAGTCACACCACGGTCTGGTTTATGTGAATGCTTTGTGATTTGCGTTACAATCTGTAAGCTCAACATAAGAGCTCAGAATTCTCCTATTTCTGTTTACAGAATTTTAGTGCTCTGTGGGTCTTGGCTATATTTTGTAAATTTTCACAAAAGTATTGTGCAAGGGAAAATATTCAAGGCTAAGGAAAATATTCAAATGTATGGGATTTGTCTTTGTTAAAGAAGTATAGAAAAAATAAATGTGGAAATTTTAGAGACAGACTTTATTTATTTAACACAACATAAAATTTTACATAAACATAAGTTAGCAAGACAAGTCACCAGACTGAAGATTCTTAACTAAAACAACCATGTGTAATTTAAAATAAAAATTACAATAATAAAAAATTATAATTGTTTGATTAAATTATAGGCAGAAATTTTAGTGCATGCACATCGTCAGCTCACAGAACTTATGAATAAATTGATTTGCCCAAAGAAGATGCATTTTGAAGCAGTATTGCTAAAATTAGTTTTAAAAGCCAAATTTGGCTCAAGCACAGTACTGATAATAAACATTTTTAATATTAATAATGATTCTGTTAGAGCGGATGGGAACCTGTTAGTACAGTATGTTTAGGCAGGCAGCCTCTAGGGAGCTGCCAAAACCTGACCCGTCAACCACAGAAATAAATGCAGCATTGAGAAGGCATTTCAAGAACCGGATTTCTGCAAGGTGAGGCTACCAGGGTGGATGACAGAGGGGAGAAGGCAAGCAGTCTGCCTAACAAAAGCTCCCTGGTTGTCACAGATTTTTCAATGGAAAAGCAGGCATGACCCCTCCTCCAGGCCTAAGGTAGGGCAGCAGCAGGGAAATGAAGATTCCTCACTTAAAGCCTAGGGTGGTCCCCGGCCAAATTCCCAGCAGGTCTGCAGCGGAGAGGGCTGCTTGCGGGCAGTTCTTTTGAGAAAAATTTATTTAATGGCATAATAGGTTGGGTTAAAGCTTGGGAAACCACAGAGGTAAAAAATAATCTTCAGGAAATAACAGCCACCTCCTACCCCATTCATCTCCAAGGCAGCAGTAACTACCAGTTGGCCTCCTGTAGGCTCACCTCTGTTTTGAAGAGGTTCCCCTTGCTTATCAGGCAGTCAAAACACCCACCCTAGCAAGAGGGGGAGAAACTCAAATGCAAACCAGCAGCACACTACACCCAGGACACCAGGAGGGTGAGCCAGGCCACTGAGTACAAGGGAGACCCTCTTAATTATGTTCTGCTCCAAACTTTTTCAGGAAGTGTCCAGCTATTTCCCCGTGCTTTTATTCCCTGCAAATAATCCAGGTTGGAGGCCAACATTATAAGCCGCTAGTGACCACCAGAGAGGGAAACGTCTCACTACCAAGTGCCTTTCTTGGCCTGTGTCGCTAGAGGCTCCAGCAAGGGCGCTTTGCCAGAATCTGTGCTGCTTCCGCCTGTGTTCGCCAGCTGAACGCTGATGCAAGGTTAAGTGCCCGCGCGTTTGACCTTTTCCAGGAGCCCCCAGAATGAAGGAAGCCTGTTAGTATGATGCCCCTAGAAGCGGATAAACACCCTGAGCACAAGTGTTTCAATCTTTCCAGCAATCCTCCAGCTTTTCTTTAAATATTGGGGTAGCATGTTGGAGAAACGCATTTTTTAAATATCCTGTGTTCTGCCCCCTCCCCCTTCTCCGCATGTCTCCTATTTGTTTCTGGCGTTTCCTCCTTTTCAGCTGGCATTCTAATGCCACTTGCAATCATTTTTGAAATAAGTCACCGTCGACAGAGCAAAAGGGTCAGATCCCTGATGATGGGCGGGATAGGAGCAAAGGCCTGGCTTTGGAGGATAACCGGGAGCCCGCCTCCCCTGATGAGCCTCAGGATATCCTTCATCTTCCAGCTAAGACAGATGTGTCCCTCATCCACCATCCGCAGCGACCGCCCTCCTGCATTCGCGCGGAGACTGCGGGACGAAGCAAGCCATTGGCCCGCGTGGGCGGCCGTGTGGGGCGCGGAGCTGCGTCTGCGTCCGCAGAGTTTCACATTCGCACCCTGCCTCTCCGGGTCGGGCGCCGCGTGTCCAGGCCATCGCGCACGCAGGTCGCTCCCCCCACCCTCGACCCCCACGGCTCCCGGGGAGACCCTCAAGGCCCTCCTCGCCAGCACCGGACCAAAGCGGGAACCTGGGACCCTGACACCGGGAAACAGACTTGCCACGCATCCCCTTTCCGGGAGGACGTTGGGCCGCGAGGTCTCTGCTGCCCACAGTTGGAAGGCGCGCGCCTAGCGCTGCGGGTGCCCGCGACCGCGTGGGAACACGGGTTCGAATCGTGGGCGCCAGGAGACAAGGCCCCCGGGTGCACCCCAGACCCTGGATTCCAAGGCTTGAAAGGCGAGAGATCCGTTCAGAAAAGAACTCAAAGGCTTCCTGGCTCGCGCACTTGGCACAGTAAAGGCAAACTCCAGGTCGGACTAGGGTATCAGCCCTGGAAGGGGACATCTCAAGAAGATCGGAAGCCCCCGGAGCGTGCCCAGTGCGAGTCCATGCGCGGATCCCTAGACCTCCAGCTCCGAGAGGGGTTGCTGAGAGGCCGTGTGGCTTAGGTGCCCAGGGCAGGCAGAGCCCAAAGTGGACAGAGACCAAGCGCGGGACCCGCAGCTTTGCTCTGTAGCTCGGAGCCAGCCGCAGCGCCCAATCCGTGCGCTAGCCAGGTCCTGACGGCGCTCGACCCGCCCCCTTGACGCCAATAAAATCAGGGCGAGGTCGCTCTGTAGCCCAGCGTTGCGCTGCTGTCACCCGAGCTTCTCCGAGTGCTCCCGCGGGCTCCAGCTCCTCCTCCTTCACAGGGCCCGGGTCTCGCTCCTTTCCGCCCTCTCCCTGCTCCACAGTCTATGTACACTGGCAGCCCGGCTTGGCTGGCTGTGACAAGCGGCGCGCACCGCTGACCGGAGCACACCCTCCGTCGGGCTCGGGACTGCGCAGCGGCACGGCTTTTGGAAAGTCGCTCTTCCCCGCAGGATGAAGAGCCCCGTGCTGGACGCGGTCTCCTTACTGCTAGACAAGCTGCTCCTCTCCAATTTAAAGCTTCTCAGTCTGGGAGCTCAGGGAGAAGACCAAAGAAGCAGCCGGTCCTATGAAGTCAGTTCCTTCCTCCGCGGGGACGTGCTGGAGGTGCCCCGCACCCACCTGACCCACTATGGCATCTACCTGGGCAACAACCGCGTAGCCCACCTCATGCCTGACATTTTGCTGGCCCTGACCACGGACGAGAAGCGCACCCAGAAGGTGGTCTCCAACCAGCGTCTCCTCCTGGGCGTCGTGGTCAAGGTGGCCAGCATCCGCGTGGACACAGTAGAGGACTTTGCCTACGGGGCCGACGTCCTGGTCAATCACCTGGACGAGTCCCTGCAGAAGAAGGCGCTGCTCAATGAGGAGGTGGCTCGGAGGGCGGAGGAGCGGCTGGGCGTGTGCCCGTACAGCCTGCTGTGGAACAACTGTGAGCACTTCGTGACCTACTGCAGATATGGCACCGCGGTCAGCCCCCAGGCCGACAAGGTACCACCCGTGGTCCCGGGCAGTGGGCTCATTGGGGACACCCTTGTTCCTGGAGTTTCCCTCCTTGCAGCCAGTTCGTTTCGGAAAATTTTATTTAATGGCATAATAGGTTGGGTTAAAGTTCGGGACACCACGGAGGCAAAAATAATCTTCAGGAAATAACAGCCCCCCCCCCCCGTTCATCTCCAAGGCAGCAGTAATGTACCAGTTCGCCTCCTGTAGCGCTCACCTCCGTTTTCAAGAGGTTCCTCTTGCTAAGCACACAGTCAAAACACGGAACCTAATAAGAGGGGGAGAAACTCAAATGCAAACCAGCAGGACACTGCCCTCCTGTCGCTAATGTACTCGCTGGGAGCCAGGTTTACCCAGGGCCACCTTCCACACCACTTCCATGCAATCTCACAAGTTCTGGTGTAGCTAAGGGAGACCAGGTAGGTGAATACATAGCGATGTACTCTACAGGGTTATCTTGGAATGAGGGCAGCGAAAGGGTGTGGCTCTGCTGGGTGGCTTCAGGTGATCCCAGAGCTGCCCCGAGAGTTAGTGCTGCAGAAGTCATCAGGCTGTCCACCCACAACTCCTGCAAAAGTCAAAGTGCAGGAACTCTGGGGCATAGTACTTGGGACTTTTCCCAAGAGTTGCAATTAGAAAGAAGGTGCCCATTGTTTCATTTTGCCTTTAACATTATTTTTTCAGATGTGCCTTTAAAATGCGGAAGTGTGCTGCTTTCTCTCCCTGTAAGCCCTATAGAGTGAATTTCCTTCCTTAATATAAACTATCAGAATTCCCCAGAAGTGGACAGCTCTGCTAGCTCCCTTCTAAGCCTGTCTGCTTGAGAAGCCTTTGCCTTGGTACTGGAGAGCTTTTCCAGCTTGGCTTTCATCCCTTAGTAACTGCATTGGTCAGCATCCTTAACCTATTTCCCCAGAGGGAGGTTAGATTGTAAGGTCCCCAGAGACCAAAACAATTGAGTTTCAAGAAGAGCCCTTAACTGTTGGAAGGAAATTTTTATTAGTTCTTAGGAAAGAAAGTATGAAAATTTAAGGTTCTTAAATGAACTACAAATCCAAAGAGAAAAAGCATTCTTTTTGAAACCTCTTACTCTTTAAAGTCAGTCCTTGAAGCACATGATTTTCCTTACAGTTGGCAGTATCACAACCTGCAGTGTCCATAGGGAAAGCACCATATTCATGCTTCAGGATGGAAACCAGGGTAATGACACAGTCAGCTTTCGTGTTGCTCTTCATGTTCAAGATATTTTTGGACAAAAATTCTGAATCCATATCACCATGGACTACCTCTAAGATTTTAATTGTGCTACATGTTCACTCATTTTTTGACCTAGTTGGGAAAGTTTCTGCTCCAAGGCAGAGCACGGAAGTATTATGCTTTTATACGCTGGTATATGAAATTTCATGTAGATTCTTCCAGAACTAGACTCAATCTATAAATTATTTTCCAAGCAAAATAAAAATACAGTTAGAACAGTGTGTAATGATCCAAGAATGACAGCCCCAGTTGAACCCTATTTAGAAATGAACTTCCCACATTTACGAACACTGCCTCCAAAAGTATACGAAGGAAACACTTTAGATTTACTGAAGAACCAAGCAAATTACTTCTGTGGAAAATATCTTTCTCTCCAATAATTAGGAGTCACACCATAATGAAGCACATGTAGCACTGTATTGTATATTTCTACCCAAAAATACTACAAATGCTTTTTAAAGGTAGTAAAATTTTTATTCTGCATTAATAACTAGTTAAAGCAGTTTCCTGCATGTGGAAACTACTAGCTTTTACATCGGTGAAGTGTTTTAATTACTATTGCTGCACAGCACCTCTTCAGAAACTGAACTTTTGTCTTCACTCTAAATGGTCTAAGAAACCAATTGGCCCAGACTAGACTTCCAGCCTGGGGAAGGTCTCCATCCAAAATTTTCTCATTATAAGTAGTTTTTCAACAAGTCCTGAGAAAAGTAGGTCATGAATCCTGAAGGAGATCTAGTTTCTACTTTTTAGAAGTATAAGAAAGTTCAGCAATATTTGATTTGATTTGAAGGCCGGGATGTCCATATCAACAGCTACTGTCATCTTAAAATTTACAAAAGCTCTCAAGAATGCTTTCTCTCAGGAAAACATCACAATTAGTTTGAGAACGATTTGGAAAATAACCTTTTATTCTTTGCAATAATGTTGTCTCTCTGCCTTACAGGTTAAGAAATCATAAAATTTGGGACCAGGGAGATAGCTCAGTAGAATAAACACTTGCCTGGCAAGCACAAGATCCTGAGTTCAATCCCCAATACCACAAACCAA